ATCTACGGTGGGGCCGTTGGTTAAGGAATGTGGCCAGAAGGTTTCGGACCCTGAAGGACTCCTTCTCTCATGAAGGCGGCGGTGATATCCATGGCCAAGTCCATGATTTGAGTTCTATTGGCTCCCAGACGCTGAATTCATTGTCCAATGGTTCCTTATCCAATGCCATCTCCGTATCTACCATCTTGAAATCATCTTGAATCTCTGAGAGCTAAGAGGGTTTCAGATCAAGAATCCGGAGCCGCAGGGCAGCACCAGAGGTCGTTCCGGCTTCCGTGAAAACACCTCGGCGCGCCCTGCCTGAACTCGCAGCGGGGCCCGATAGGCCTGAGGTTCAGCGTTTCCCAATACGCGTGCCTGGAAGCTCTCCAGAAGGTCCTTCGGAAGCTCTCTCCAGGTCCTTCCAGAGTTCTTCGACAGGCCTTTCCACGCCCTTTTGGCCCCCTGCTGTCCGGGTTTTGGATTCCACAAGTGTTATCGGCGTCACCTCAACATGCTAATACTATGTGTGCGTCGCCCCTCCAGGGGCGACGCGTGCACCAAGAAGCTTTCTGGCCTCACCGCTCGGGAAACGATAATACTACAAGATAGGTATACTAGGTGGTCGGGTCGGACGCGCGCCTGCAAGGAGGACATCTAGTACTAGTATGTCTCTGTACGTCTCTGTGCGTCCCATACGATACCACGTGTATTCTTTTCCTGACAGGACTCTGACCCCCTGACGAGGCCGTGGTTATCCCGAGGCTGGCTTTCCCCCCTCGTCCGCGTATTTGTTTATTGTCTTTGTGCCACGGTCGCTGATCCGAAACCTACACAACACCCCGCCAGCAGACCCGGGATATGTTCCCCCATCTCTGGACCAAACAGTGCGGTGCACATGAGCTTATCTAGGAGATGCGTTATGTAATGGACAATATCAAATAGTACGACTCGGGCCACGCACGCGCCCCCGCCCGCATGGCAAGCTCACTCGAACAAGCCACTGTTCTCGCAACCGTTGGAGGACATGTGCACGTATGCGCGCGCACACAGACAACCTTCTTGCTGGTTTGTTTCAGCAGAGTTGCGCGCATTCTGCGCGAGCAGTGGCCGAAATCATGTGCCGTCTCTATTCTTTGCCATCCAGCCAAATGAGGGCGCGCGGTCCGCACGCGCGTGCATGGCGAAACTATCTAACAACCATCGCGCGCCAGCCAATTGTGCCAAGTAGTGCCAGGCGGGCCGCAAGCGTGCGTCTCCGCCCGCGTACGCGGGAATCCGTCCGAATCAGTTTTTCCTTCATACGCGTTTCAATGCGGATGTGTTCAAACACATATGGAATACACTTGGCTTTCGAATCGCAATTTTGACATACGTTCAAATGTTTGCAAGCGCGACCTCCCTCATTATCCTCACCAGCACCATCGTCATCATCATCATCATCATCATCATCATCATCATCATCATCATCATCATCATAATCATCATCATCATCACCATCATTATCATCATCATCATCATCCTCATCCTCATCCTCATCCTCATCCTCATCCTCCTCATCCTCCTCATCGTCACCATCACCATCACCATCACCATCACCATCACCATCACCATCACCATCACCATCACCATCACCATCACCATCACCATCACCATCACCATCACCATCACCATCACCATCATAATCATCACCACCATGGCCAGCGTCATAGTTGCCGCCGTCATCATCATCACCACCAGCTTCATCACCATCACCATCCTCGCGTTCATCGTTCCCATCATTTGTATTGTGGAACATCGGTTGCACCCATTGGAGGCTGTAACACATAGGTTGCACCTTACATGTTGCGACTCGTAGATTGCACCGCATTCAAATGTCTTTGCGTAGATTGCGCAGAGTGTCTGCGATCACCCACTTCTGGGATCCGCGTTGGCAAACATCGACGTTCTTGATGGTGTGTGTGTGTGTGTCCCAGGAACCTCTGGATACTTCCGCGGACCTTTCTGGACATCCGATATTTTTGCCTATCAGTCCCGACCCCTTTCCCCAGCCCTGATTTTCCATCCTCCTCTGTTTTCGGAAGGCCCTTTGGCCCGGCGAGGGCCCCTCGAGGCCGACGGTGAGGAAGCGCCTCGCTCCTGATCTGGTCCCGACGTTGCATGCCTGGGCTTGCCCCCCTTGAACGGAAGGATTGCACAAAAACCCGAAGGATTGCAACAAAAACCGAAGGATTTGAAAACAACCCTTCGTTTTTTTTTTTTTTTTTACAATCCTTCGTTTTTTTTTTTTTGTTTTGTTTTGTTTTTTTGAAATCCTTCGTTTTTTTTGCAATCCTTCCCTCTTCGCCGCCCCGGTGGCCTCGGCTGCCCCGAATGTCCGCGTGACCGTGCGCCTCGGCGGCGGCGGCGGGCCCGGGGAGCAGCTCCTGGTGCCCGTCCGCGAGGGCCAGACGGTCGGGCAGCTGCTGGAGGCCGTCCGCGCGCGGGCGCCGCCGGGCGCCGACGGTCGGAGCAGGAACACGCACACACCGCTGCCTCCTCCTCCTCCTCCTCCTCCTCCTCCTCCTCCTCCTCCTCCTCCTCCTCCCTCCTCCCTCCTCCCTCCTCTGCCTCTGCCCTCCCTTCGTCGCCACGGCGCCAACACCGCAGAGCGGATTGCGGTCGGATCACGACAGGGTGGGCCCGGAGTGTCCTGGAGAGCCTCGTTCCGGATCCCGAGGTGGACTTCGAGCGGATTTTTTTTGGGGGCCAGGGGTGAAGACCACAAAGAATCCACTCGAAATTCACTTCGTTTTTCGCTCGCCGCTTCGGGCGAAGATCCACGCAGAAATCGCATCACGTCTGCAAGGCCGGTGCAATGACTCGTCGCCACGGCTTGGTTCGCCTCGAAGCCTTATGGGGGCAGCGGTGTCGGCATCTTGTCGTCCCCAGACATTCAGCTGCTCTAGTGCTTTCGACGCGTTGTCCCCAGAGGTCCGGACCACCTCTCTGGGGCTTTTTTTATGTTTTTTTCCCGTCCCGAGCCGTTTACTGACGCTCCCGACGCCCGGCGAGGGCCCACAGAGGCCGAACGCGGCCCAAGACCGTCTGCTCCACCTTGTGGCAGCGCGTCGGATCTCAGGGTACTGTGCCGTTTTTAATACATGCTCCGCGTGCGGATCATGTATTAAACATGCAGGGGTATAGTATTAAAAACAACGATGCGTTCATGCGTGGATTTATTCCTACGCTGATCATGTATTGCAAATCCTTTTTTTTTTTTTTTTTTTTTTTTTTTTTTTTTTTTTTGAAAATCCGATGTCTGAAAAACTGCCCTGTATCTTTGTCGTCCCCCCAGACGGCCTCGACCAGCTGCGCGCCGACGCCGCGGGCGCCCCCGGGGCGCTGCTCCACCCCGAGGACGAGGCGGCGGCGGTGCTCCGCGACGGCGACGTGCTGCACGCGGGCCCCGCCCCGGCGCGGCCCAGGCGGGAGCCGCCGGGCACGGCCCGGGAGGCCACCCCGAGGCGCCGCCTGCGGGCGAAGCAGGATCGGGGGTTGCTCAAGTCTCGGGGGCTCCCAGACGGGGTGGTGACCCGGGTCTGGATGGACCCGGGTCAGAAGATCTCCGATTGCAGAGAGAGGGTGCGTGTCGGGGGCCCCCAAACGGTATGGTCCGGTGACCACACCGTGTGGTGAGAGTCGGTGGGGATTCGGGGTCGCCGCACGGTTCTGGGACTTGGGTCGCTCTCCGAGGACGTCTCGGGCGACTGGAGCCTCCAGGGTCCCAAAACCGTGGGGTGACGGACCGTGCGGTGAGGTCTTTGGGGATTTCGAGGTCACCGCCGGGTCTGTCACCACACGGCGATGGGACCCCCAATGCAGGCGTCCCTGGCCCAGGCACATCCCTTTTCCTTGTGCATAAGTTCTCCCGGTCGCACCCCGAGGCCAGCTTTTACGGCGGGCCGGGCGTCTCGCTCGAGACTGCCTTACCGCTTATGACCCTGAAGCTTAGAACATTGCCGCAAGTTTCACAGATGGAGGGCGGGTCGTTTTCAAAATGTGGCTCTCGCCTTAGCGCCGCGTGCATTCGCTTTTTTAAAAAGAGCAAGAGTTTCACGGATGGAGGGCGGGTGGTTTTCAACATGTGGCTCTCACCTTAGAGCCGCGCGCATTCGCTTTTAAACATTCGCAAGAGTTTCACGGATTGAGGGCGGGTGCTTTTCAAAATGTGACTCTCGCCTTAGTGCCGCGCACATTCGTTGATACAACTTGAAAGATTTTTGCGGATTGAGGGCGGGTGGTTTTCAAAATGTGGCTCTCGCTTCAGCGAAGCGCACATTCGCTTTTAAACTTTGCAAGCGTTCCAGAATGGTGTTTTTTTGTTTGCTGGGAAGGATTCAGGATTATGAGGGTGCAACAGTTACGTTGGTTGCGGTGTTCATGTCCCAGGAATGGCGTTCTGGTGCGATTCAGGATCGTCAAGACGCAACAGTCAGGTTGATCCGTGGCGTTGGAATCCCGAGAACAATGTTTTGGCATGCTTCTGGGTCTTCAAACGGTTGTCTTTCAACGAGGCAGTTCCCTCAGTGGAAATGAACTGTTGTAGGGGCCTATGAAGTGGGAGCTTGGAGGGTGAGTTTATTCCAACATCGTTGATGACTCTTGGGTTTACACTGGTCCTCCTCCTCCTCCTCCTCCTCCTCCTCCTCCTCCTCCTCCTCCTCCTCCTCCTCCTCCTCCTCCCCCTCCCGAGGGCGAAGCAGGATCGGAAGTTGCTAAGTGTGGCCCTGGCCCAGGCGCCCTTCCCCCCAGCTTCTCGGCTCCCTTTGGAGTGCTTGTCGGGCGGCGAGGTCTATGCATATGCACTGCCTGCTCTCTGGCCATGTCCTCCTCCTGAACCCAGGAGCTCTGTATACGCCTCCCTGGCCAAGCCGGGAGGGCGTGGCGTACACACCGCTGCTGGGTTCAGGCTGGGCCTGGCCAGGGAGCAGTGAATACACACACATATATGTATATATATATATATATATATATATTTGCTCGTGGCTCGGCTGCCGCGAACCCAGTCCGAGGAGGGACTCCGGACCTAGTTCTATACACGGGCAGCCGGGAGGCGAGGCCTCCTGTAGCCGGTCGTCATTTCTGCGGCCGGGATATCGATTTATGCTAGCAGCGTGCGGCCAGGGCTTCTGGCCGGGATCATCAAACGGTCACCTATGGAACATCCGCTCCCCCCCCAGGGGGGGGGAGAGGGGGGAGGGAAGGGGGGAGAGAAGGGGGAGGGAAGGGGGGAGGAGGGAGGGAAGGGGGAAGGGAAGGGGGGAGGGAGGGAGGGGGAGGAGAGGAAAGGGGGGGGAGGGAAAAGGGAAGGGGGGGGGGGAACGGGGCGGACCCAAGGCGGCAACGAGGGAAGGAGGGGGCAAGGGCCGTCCAGGCAGGGCGGACCAGAGTTGTTTTCTTTTCTCGTAGGCGGTCGCAGTCGCAAAACGGAGGGAGCAGTGTGGTCAACCTGCGTAGATCCATCTGTCGCCGAGGCGCAGCCCCACCCCATGTGTCCCTGCTGGGGGAGCGGGCGGTGGGGGAAAGCGCTCTCGATATAACAAGGGGTGGAGTTTCTTCATCCTTTGCCACGCCGTGACTCGTAGGAGAAGTCTATGAGAGGCCAATGTGAGATCGAGCGTTGTGTCTTCGAGCCATGGCCGGGGCGGCACGACCGAAGTCCGCCAGAGGGTGTCTGCGGTATGCTCGTACCACTCGCCTGCCTTCCTTGGTCTCCCGACGCGTTTGGGACCATAGTCCCAAGGCTTGAGCGTATGTGGGTCGAAAGTGCAGGAGGCGACTGGGTCCGTCGCGGGGGCTGAGATCAGGCGGCAGAGCAGATCAAGCTTGAGTTTGTCGTACGTGGCGCTGAAGCGTTCGAGGGCCCTATGAGGTCTCCTACTATTGAGGGCATTTTGGGCTTGGCTGTAGATGTACTCGTTCGTGTTCGTGCGGTCCTGGCCCTGGGCCATTTGGCCGAACGTAGTCGAGATCCCAAGGATCTTGCGTAGGCCTTTCAATTGAAAGCCGTCGAGCCGCTGTGTCTGCCCGGGGGTCAGTTGAGTGGTTTCTAGGCCGTACAACAACTTCGATCTGCATACGGCGCTGAATACTTGTATTTTTTGCGAGACCGAGCAATCGCTGTGCAGCCAGAATGCATCCAGTCGTTGCATCGTTTGGTAGCAGTTGCGGATGCGTGCGCTGATCTCTTTACCGACGTCGTTTTTGCTGTCAAGGGAGCAGCCCAAATACTTTACAGTCTCCGCGGACGGAACATGTGTGCCATCCCGGTATTTTATTCGACTTGGCTGTCCAATGACCATGAGTTCACATTTTGTTTTGTTTAGGTTAAGCCCGAAACGTGCGCTTTCTTTTTCAATGGCGTGCAGCATGCGGGTGATTTGAGATTTGTTGGTAGAAACGCACATAGTGTCGTCAGCGAACAGTACTGCATCGAATGTAACTCCGGGCGGACGCCCTTCCGAAAGCGACGTGCCGTGCTTGCTGTAGATGTCCTGGAACAGCACATGCATAACGATCAGAAAGAGATACGGTGAGAGAGGGCAACCCTGGCGGATCCCAGCGTCCTGGCGGTGCCATTTTGACTCGTAGTTGTCCATGCCTACCTGGAAAGTGGGGTTCCTGTACAAGGCTTTCACAACGTTAACGATTTTGTCCGGCAGCTGCATGCGCTCCAGAGCGCTGAAAAGGGCTTCGTGCGTGACGCGGTCGAACGCCTTTTCCCAATCGAGGAACAGCAGATAAAGCGGAGATCCCTGCTTATAATTTCGGGTGCTGGCGCCTTGGTGAACCATCTGTCTGACGATCTTCAAGGCTTGGGACGTGCTGCGCCGTGCCCGAAAACCAAATTGCGTCGGTTGTAGGAGGTGGTCAATCTTCTTGGCGATACGGTCTTTGAGGACACCCGCAATGAGTTTATAGAACGAGTTCAGCAGGGAGATGGGGCGGTAGTTGTCGAGGTTGGCAGCGCTGCCCTTGTTCTTGAACAGGAGCACCACCCTGGCCGCCAACATGTCGTCCGGAACGAACTCATCTGACCACCATTGATTCAGAAAGTCTAGGACGCTTTGGAAGTTGTCGTTATCGAGTTCGCGGATGAGATCCATGGACAAACCGTCTGGACCGGGCGCCTTGCGTCGTTTCCATTTTTTGAGAAGCGATTTTAGCTCCGGCAACGTGATGGGGCCTGTTTCGACTGGCAGGGTGCTATCGACGAGCTGGGAGGATTCAAATTTGGGGCGGTACCTGTCCGGTTTCCTCCATTGCTTGGTTGCCAGATGGGCGGCCGCAGCCTCCGCCCGCAAGTGAACTGGGACGGGCTTGCCATCGACTTTAGTATGGTATGGCATCGGTTGATACCCAGTTTTCAGCTGTCGGATACCCAACCACCTCTCCCTTATGTCGAGTGTTTCGGATAAAGTGTCTCTGATGTGTTGCTTTTTGGCAAGCTTGATGTCTTTGTGAATTTCCTTGCACAGCATTTTGTACTTGGCGTGGTCGCCAGTGCGCTTGGCTTCGGCGCGCTCCACGAATTTCCGGTCCAGTGCAGGGGAGATACTGAAACCCTTGCGGGCGATTCTCTCCTCCTGGAGATGCTCCTGTGCGGATGCGAGCATTAGGTCCCTGTATTCCGTAGCGGTTGGTCGGTGGTCCAGATCCGTGAGCTTCCGATTGTATGCTTGTCGGGCCTCGCGATCCGGCGCTTGCCACTGCGACGGCGGCTTGAGTGAGGTGTGTCTCATTGCCTTGAGTCTGACACGGATGGCACTCACCAGCGGGAAGTGGTCGGATTCCAAGCCCGACAGGGGGTCGGCTTCACAATTTAAGATATTGTTTTTCCAACGCTGGGGTGTGATGACATAATCGAGCGTCTCATATTTGGGTCGGTGCCATGGCGGCTCAACCTCCTGGTCTTTGTGTTGGAGGTACGTGCACAACTTCCGCTGTGGTTTCGAGAAGAATGTGTTGCTGAGCTGGAGGCGGTGCTGTCCGCAGAAGTCTAAGAGACGCTCTCGGTTGTCGCTGACCTCCGGGGTCTGCGACTCGAGAGAGGTGTGTTCTCGGTCGAAAGTGCGCCAGCCAACCACGGCCGGATCGTCTCCTGAGTTGATTTGCACCCGTGCATTCAAGTCGCCGAAGAAGTATGTAATGCAGCTGTGCTTCACGGGCTTGTACGTTTGTTGGACAAGTGACCAGAAAGCGTTTTTACTTTCCTGGCTCGCGTCGGCCGTGGGCGCGTAGAGGCCTATGAAGGCCAACGGGCGGCCCGGACACCGAAGTTTGACAAGTATGACGCGCTCTGATACGGGTTGTATGTCTAAGATATTCTTCGCAAGACGTTTGTGCAGAACTACAGAAATGCCGTGCCTTTGTGGGCCTGACGGCTGCTCCGTGGAGCTGTGGTACCATAGAGTGTCCTTGCGGACTTCTCTACTGTTGTGGGAGGCGTGCGATTCTGGGAGAAAGACAATGTCAACGCTCCTACGGCGCATCCAATTGTCGATAGCTTTGCGTTTGCCCAGCTTTTGAATGCCTTGGGGGTTAAAGGCACTGACCGTAAGTTGGGTACGCTGCGGTAGCTTGGGAGGAAGGGAACGACGACCTTCCTGAGCCCGCTGGGCGGGCCGAGTGGAGGAATTCTCTGGCCTCCGTAAGCGACGGCATGCCGCTCGACGCAAGGAGCGTTGCTTCTGGCGCCTGGCGATCGATGTGGGCTTACGTAGGCCTCGATTTGTGTTTCGCAAGCGGTGGGGTGTACCGAAAACCTCCGGTTGAGGCTCTTTCGGTCTCCGCTGGGTGGGGATCACCCGCGGCGGACCCGCACGGCCACTGACGGCGCATCGGTGCCTCAGCAGCAGTGTGCGACTATATTGCAGGACGGACTGGTCCGACGCTGCAGGGGCCCGGCAGGCCCGCCGGTAGCACCCTGCCCCATCTTGTATCCCTGCCACAGCCCATGGCCGGGAAGACGGGGGCGTCAGGCCCGATCTGGCCCCGCCGTGTCCAGGAGCCCCCTGTCCACGACGGGCCACCTGCGGAAAAGCAGTGTTGAAACTCATATTGAGGTGACGATGCAGTGGTGTAGACTTCCCCAACGTGGGGGTCTGTGCTTGAGCCTGAGAACTTGAGCCAGAGTGGGGAGGAGGAGGTGCCCGCAGTGGTTCTCCATCCGTGACCTCCGCGAAGGGTCTCAGTGAACCCCCGGAAACGAACCGGGGGCCCGAGACGGCGCCGGGGACGGAGTCGAGAGGTCCGGAAAACGACGCTACGAAAAACTCCTGCCTTCGCTGGTCTGGGGCCCTGCTCCTGGGCAGCGAGGCGGGGGGAGGTCCGAGGGAGGGGGGGAGAGGATGTTCCGAGCTACTATGTGTTTCCGGCCTAGCCTGCCGAACTGCTGGATCGTGAGTGCCCCTGTCTCCGGCCTGCGACCCCTAGGTCTCCTTCTTGGCCTTCTTCTTGGTCTTTGGCTTCTCCTTGTCCTTGTCCTTCTTGCCGCCTCCGGAGGCAGCAGCGCCGGCAGAGGCTGCGGCGGCGGCGGCGGGCGCCCTGCTGGGGCGGTCCCTCTTGGGGACTCTCGTCAGCAGGCTGCTGTCGACGATCTTGGTCACAATCTCGAATGGGAGCACGACCTTGTTGTGCATGCTGTCTTTGAAGAGCGGTAGGAGGTCGCTGCCCTTGGCGGCCCCCTTCGTGAAGGGGATGCTCTCGGCGATCAGGATGGTCATGCGCTTGCTGTCGTCCCCCTGGTGCTCCACGGAGCCCCGCGCGATCACCACGTCGTCCTCTGCGTCCTTCTCAGCAGCGGCCCTCACGTCCCACTCATACTCAGACGCATCGAAGCCCTGGAAGCTGTGCCGGATGTGGTGCGGGCGCCCGAGGGCATCGGAATCTGCCTCTGCCATTTGGTAAAGAGAGCTGTGGAAGACCCGGGCAGGCATTCCGAGGTGCTTCGCGGACTCTCCAATGCAATTCAGCACCAGGAGCTTGAAGGATTTCTCCCGGACGAGATCAATGAGAGCCGACTTTAACTCTCCCTTTGTGCTGCTGTTCCAAGCCTCGACCCGAAGGGTGGTCGAATAGGTGTGTGTGTATATATATATATATATATTTATATTTATACACACACACACACACCTATTCGACCACCCTTCGGGTGATAAGGAGGTTGTGGGGGGGGAGGGGGGAACCAACATCTGACTCAATCGATCTCACTATTGATCTCACTCAACGGGACACCACGGCGGGACACCAGGGGACACCACGGGACACCACGGGACACTTGTCGATCTCACTATCGATCTCACTCTCGATCTCACTCAACGGGACACCACGGGACACCACGGGCCACCACGGGACACCACGGGACACCGCGGGACACCTCTCGATCTCACTATCGGTCTCTGTATCGATCTCACTATCGATTTCACTCAGCGGGACACCATGGGACACCACAGGACGCCTCGGGACACCACATCGATCTCACTATCCATCTCACTATCGATCTGACTATCGATCACACTCAACGGGACACCACGGGACACCTCGGGACACCTGCCGATCTCCCTATCGATCTCACTATCGATCTCACTATCTATCTCACTCAGCGGGACACCATAGGACACCACGGGGCACCACATCGATCTCAGTATCGATCTCACTATCGATCTCACGATCGATCTCACCCAACGGGACACCACGGGACACTACGGGACACCACGGGACACCACGGGACACCGGCGGGACACCGCGCGGCACCGGCCGCCGGAGGAGAAACATTTGGCCCGGCCGCGGCCCAGCCACAGGAGGATTTCGGGACACCACGGGACACTGGCGGGACACCGCGCGGCACCGGCCGCCGGAGGAGAAACATTTGGCCCGGCCGCGGCCCAGCCACAGGAGGATTTCGGGACACCAGCGGGACACCGGCGGGACACCGCGGGGCACCGGCCGCCGGAGGAGTTACATTTGGTCCGGCCGCGGCCCTGCCACAGAAGGATGGATTTTCTTTCGCCCGCCCATGCAGCTTCGCCTCGCCCGCACGCACGCACGGCACGCACGACACGGACCCGAATCCGAAATCGATTTCCCGGTAGGGGGGGTCTCCGTTTCACGTCGGACTCACCCCCCAACCTCCGATATACATAGATCTCGCCGCCCTAACTTGGGGTCCTCTGGGTCTCGTGAGGGATGCCCCTGGAGGCCAGGGGGGTCCTCCTCTCCAGCCCCTGGGGCCCTAGCCCCTGGACCAGGGGCACACCTCCGGCAGAACACCCGGCGCAGGAGCCGCCGGGCGAGGCGGGCGTGAAGCGGGAGCCGCTCTCCCCGAAGTCGGGGAGCAAACGCAGACACAAACACAACAACTCGGAGGTCCGCGCGGATTTCTCGGATCGGCGCTGGAGCCCCCTGGCGGCGCCTCCGGCACCGCCCCTGGCGCGCTCCGCGCGCCAAGGAGGGCGGTCCAGCGCCGATGCGAGAAGTCCGCGCGGCCCTTCGAGCTCTTATGTTTGTGTCACTGTTTGCTCCCCTGCGAAGACCTCTCCCTCGAAACGTGCGCGCGTGGCCCACGGCGTGATCGACCTGGAGTGCAGCGCCGCGGGCGAGCTGCCCGCCGCGCCCGCGGCGGCGGGCCCCGAGCCGGGCGCCGCCGAGGGCCTGATAGCGTTCCGCGTCCGCACGTTGGCGCCGGGGCTCGAGGACTTCCAGGTGGCCGTCTCGCGCGGGGCGACGCTCGCCGAGCTCCACGCCGCCGTCGCGGAGCGCCTCGGGCCGGTCGCGCCGCCGCACTCCACCGTGCGGCTCTACACCGCGAGGCACCCGCTGCCGAGGCGATGGGCCAGTTTTCCACCACCGCTACCAGAAGTAGGATGGGGGGGGAAGGGAGGATGGGGAGGTCCTCGTCCTCCTCCTCCGTTTCCTCCTCCTCCTCCTCCTTTTCCTCCTCCTCTTCCTCCTCGTTCTCCTCCCCCTCCTCCTCCTCCTCCTCCTCCTCCTCCTCCTCCTCCTCCTCCTCCTCCTCCTCCTCCTCCTCCTCCTCCTCCTCCCCCTCCCCCTCCTCCCCCTCCTCCCTCGGTGGTGGAGCCTCGGCCCACCACGAGGGGCGCCCAACCAGACGCCGCACCCGCCGCGCAGCTGCTGCCCGCGGGCGGCGGCCCAGCGGCGCCGCCGACGCTGTACGCGCAGGCGGTCTCCGGCGGGGGCGCCGGAGAGGAGGGGGGCCAGCCGCCCGAGGCAAGGCGCGGCAGCTCCGGGAGCGAGCCGCCGTGCCCCGAGCTCGCGCTCTGCCGCGCGTGGCAGCCGGCGGGCTCGCCCCAGAGCGAGGCCGGCATGAGCTGCTTCCTCGCGAGCCTCCTGGTCCTCAGGGGCAAGGGTAGGGGGGGGATGGGCACGGGTCGAGGAGGCAACAACGGCACAAGCACAACAACTTTTCGGTGCTGCGCGCGGGTTTCTTGGAGCCGCGCCGGGCCCACCCCCCCGGCGGCGCCTCCGGCGCCGCCCCTGGCGCAGATCTAAGAAACCCGCGCGGAGCGCCAACAGTTTATATTTGTATGCCATTTTGTTCCCTCTACCCTCAGGGGCAGCGATAGGGGGTATAGGCATAGGGGTGGACGCATCGATCCCCACTCGCCCACAGATCGCCGAGAGGGGGTTGATAGCCCCACCCCGCCCAGGAACGTGCGGACGCACTCTCGGGGGCCAATCGCCGATCTATCGGCGTTGTGTCGCCGATTTCATGTCGATGCCCCCCCCCCCCCCTCCCCCTATGTGCACGTGCCAGTACCCCCCCCTGTCGTCGTTGACCCTCAGGTCCTGGGGAAGCACATGGCGACGGAGCACGTGCTGCGGCGCAGGGTGCTTGGGCACTTCCGCGCGGCGTGCCGCTTCCCGCCTGCGGTGGCCGCCCTGGGCGCCGTCCTCGGGGGGCGCCACAGGCAGCTACAGGAGGCCGACAAGGGCGCGCTCGCCTGCGCTGCCTTCAAGGTCTTCCGCGCCGCAGCGCCCGCAGAGGTCCGCCATGGCCGCACGTGTTTCCATGGCGCGTTGGCGGACGCTCCCCCGGCGTTTGACTCCCTTCTTGATCGGCCCGTTCTTCTGTGATTTATCGAGGACGCCTGCGGCGAGTCCCCGCCGCTCCCTGCCTTTGGGAAGCGCCGATGTGGCCGAAGGTTGTGGCCAGAGCTTGGGAAAGGTATCGGATTCCGAGCCGTAGTGGGAACCCTCCGAGGATTATTTGGGGGAGGATGAGGGAGAGCATCAGGAGGAGGAGGAGGAGGAGGAGGAGGAGGAGGAGGTGGAGGAGGAGGAGAAGGAGGCGGAGGATGAGGATGAGGATGAGGATGAGGATGAGGATGAGGATGATGATGAGGAGGAGGAGGAGGAGGAGGAGGAGGAGGAGGAGGAGGAGGAGGAGGAGGAGGAGGAGGAGGGCAAGAGGAGAAGGCCTCCTAGGAGCCTCTTGGGGCACTCTTCGGGCCTCCTGGGAGCTTCTTGGGCACTCTTCGGGCCTCCTGGGTCTGGGAGCTTCCTGGGGCCTCTTTGGGGCTTCTTGGTGGCCTTTTTGGCCGTGTTAGGGCGTTTCTGGCCCTCTGACGCCGTCGGAAGCCGTCTTGGGGGCCTCTCTGAGCCGTCTTGGGGCCTTCTTCGGGCGCTTAAGTGCCGTCTTGGAGGCCATCCTGGGCATCTTGCAGGCCTCTTGGGCCGTCTTGGAGCACTCTTGGGGCCGCCTTGGGAAATTCTTGGGCCGGCATGGGGCCATCTGGAAGGTCTATTGGGTGCTCTGGCCGCGATCTTGGGGCCTCTCGGGCCGTCTTGGGCAGTCGGAAGGCCGAAAATAACCAGATGCCCAATTCCTTCAAACTCGTCAGTCAAATCAATGATTTTGGCTTCTTCGGGCCGTCCTGAAAGTTCCTCTTGGAAGCCTCTTGGAAGCCTCTTGGGCCACCTTGAAGGCCTCTTTGGAGCCTCTTGGGCCACCTTGGGGCCATCTGCAGCCGTCTGGGAACCATCTTGAGCCGTCTTGGGGACTTTTTGGTGCCACCTTGAGCTCTGTTGGGGCCATCGCAGCCGTCTTGGAGACCTGTCGGCCGTCTTGGAGGCCATCTGGTGGCCGTCTTGAGCGGGAAGACCGACGACCAGGGAAGTTTATGTGGCTAAGGCCAAAAACTACCTCAAAATCTGGCACGCCGTGAACCCCTCTGGAAAGCCAGCCGCAACCGTGCCAGGGTTGCAGGTCAGAGACGTCTTGGATGCCTTGCGCCGTTCCTTGGAGGCCTCTTTGGCCATCTCGGAGCGTCGGAAGGTCACGCCAAAATCTTTCAACGACTTTGTGGGCGTTTTCAAGCGCTCGTGGGCCGCTCCGGGGCCCTCTTTAGCCATCCGAGGCTGTTCTTGAAACAGTCTCGAGGGTTGGGGAGGTTGTCTTAGGCCAGCTGAGCTTCCAGAGAGATCACGCGACACACCCTGGGAGGAGGAGGGGGGGAGGAGGTGGAAGAGGAGGAAGAGGAGGAGGAGGGGGAGGAGGTTGAGGAGGAGGAGGAGGAGGAGGAGGAGGAGGAGGAGAAGGGCGAGCAGAAAGGCCAGAGGCCTCTTGGATGCCTCTCGGGGTTTCTTCGAATGTCTCTCGAGAGCTTCTTGAAGTCCTCTAGGGTCGTCTTGGGGGGCTCTTGGCGGCCCCGGGGGGCATCTTGGTGCCTCTTGGGTGCCTCGCGGGAGCCTCTTAGGGCCTCGTGGGAGGTTTCTTGGGAGCCTCTCGGGGACCGCTTGGGGGCCTCTTGGGGTCTCCTGGGCGCCTCTTGGGGCCCTGTTGGGGTCTTGGGAGCCTAGGGGACCGTCTTGGGGCCATCTTGGACAGCTCGATTAGAGAAGAGGGGCACTTGATTAGGTCCCCCTCCAGGTTGCCCAAACATATCCAGCACCGTATAAGAATCAATGATGTTGGCCTTCTCGCCAGGGTCATCTTGGACGCTCCAACGCCTCGCGACCTCCCCCGTCCAGGTCCGGGGGAGTGGGCCGGGCAGGGGGAGGGATCAAGACCCCCCCCCGCAAGTTGTCTGGCTCACTCCCACCCTCCGTCCCAACACATCTACATATCGTGCATTGTTCTACATGGACCATCGTGCTATTTGGCTCCCATTATAGCTACAGCTACGGCCGCAGTTTTGTAAAGCCAGAACTTGTGACTCCTACCAGACATACGACTGGAACGGAATCGTACAACGGCTGCAACTTCTTCGAAACCCCATTTTCGGAGCTTGATTTGACATGCACTGTCAAAGCAGATGCAAGTCGATTGGGATCATGATCGAGTTGAAGATGATTCTCTGATATCGGTAATCCCGCCAGACCTTTAGGGCGTGAGTGGTTTCGAGCGTTTCCTCTTCCAACATCCTTATTCTCCCTTCGGGGAGCGGTTCGGCACTCCTCCCCGAGGCGACCAGCAGCCAACCAGGAGCACTAGGAGCACTAGCAACGCCCCCCGCAAACGAATACAACATACACTTATGGGCGACATATTGGGTTATGCTCGTGGGCTCCGCGAGCAAATTGCATTGTTTTTGACACGGACGGCGGGAAGTTTTCATATTGTCTGCTGTGCGCAAGGCCACCATCCCTTTCAATAACAATAGAAAACGAGCTTCGCGGCTAAATCTACATTGGAGCCTTTGGGGACCTCTTGGGGGCCTCTTGGGGCCTCCTGGGCGCCTCTTGGTAGGGGGAGGGATCAAGGCACCCTCCCCACGCGCAAGCTGTCTCGGTCACTCCCACCCGCCCTCCCAACACATAAGTAGCACCCGAGCCTCAGCATGTTCAGCGGTCGTCGATGCTACTGGAAATCAAAGCAGACCCCATGTGCGCGACACTGGGGCAAGGTGCGCCACGCGCGCCAGGCGCGCCAGGTGCGCTAGGCTCTCCTGGGGCCCCAGCGTGGCAGGCACGCCTGGCGCGCCAGATGCGCCACGTGCTCTGCGTGAGCCATGCGTGCCGCATGGCCCAGCCGCGCAGTTGCGCCACGCTCGGGGCACGCGCAGAGTGTACCAGGTGCGCCCGCGCACGTGGCAGCACACATCGGGAAGCATGTCGGCCTCCGCAACCTTGCTTTGCAACGGTAGTGATGCAATTCGGGAAACATGTCGGCCTCCACAATCTTGCACTGCTTTGCTTGCGTTGCATGGCATTACTTTGCTTCGGTTTGCATTCCTTCGCATTTCTGTGCGTTGGTTTGCACTGCTTTGGTCGCTCTGCATAGGCTTGCCTTGCTCGGCGTTGCTTTGCATTGCGTTGTGGCATTGTCTTGCGTTGTTTTGCGTTGCTTTGCATTGCTTGGCATTTCTTTTCGTAGCTTTGGGTTGCATTGCATTTCTTTGTATATCTTGGCACTTGTTGGTGATGATTTGCGTTTCGTTTACATTGCTTTGCATTGCTTTGCATTCATTGCATCGCTTTGCATTGTTTTTCATTGCTTTGCATTGCTTGGCATTGCTTTGTATTGCTATGCGTTGCTTTGTATGGTGTTGCATGGTTTTGCATGGATCTGTATGGGCTTGCATGGTTTTGCATTGATTTGCATTGCCGTGCATTCTTGTGCGCCGCGTATATTGCACCACATACTTTTGCATTGCACGCGTCACTTAGATTGCAATGCCTAGACTGCAAGAACTCACTGTCTGGGGTCCACGCCGGCTATTTTTTTATAATCTGCTTTATGGGTTCACCGTTTTGGCTAGGAAACACTTCGTGTCACACCTTTGCTAGGAGTCGTTTCAAGATTTATTCATCGTGCTATGACATGTCAGGTGCGGCCAGCCCTGGTAGGACTATAGTCGAGGTGCCGCTGACTATCCAATGCCATTCGGACAGAGTCATGGCCAAGGCGGGTCGGTTTCTATCCGCTGTGAAGCCGCAGTGGGATTTCGAGAACGTTGCAACCGGAATCTGATTCTAAATGCCTGTATGGTTGCATTTGGGTTTTAGCCAGAGTATGCTTTGATGAGACTTTACAGTTCCAGTCGGGTTCCATCAATACTGTAGCTCCTGGTGGGTTTGTATACTGTAACTGGGCTGTAACTGCAGTGCGTTTTTTTCATACGGACTCATCTTTTTGGCATTGGTCCAGTAGGGGCTGTGGCCATTTCTGTTGTTGTTGTTTGTTGGTTTGTTTTTTTGTCTCTCCGGAGACAACAATGGGATTCCGACATGATTCCAGCCGGGGTGGGATTGCACAAGAGTGGAACCTCCGTTAGGATTTAATGAACAGTTGCCGCCGTTGTAGGTTTCCATCGTAGTCGTAGCCTTGGTGGGTGCATATCAAATTTCTGGCTGTAGTAGAGTAGCTCGAATACCGTTATGCCATGATTCTTAGTTCTCGTATAACAATACATCATACGTAGATGTAGGCGCTTTTTCTTATTATGTGTAATAGTGATACTACTTCGTTGGACTTGTATTCTTTATTGTGTCATACCCGACCTGTAGCATTACCATAACCATATTCGTATTTTGGCTGTAGGGAGTTCCTATCATAGCTGTAGTCACATCTAGCAGGATCCCACCAAAACAAGCGCCAGTTTCCCAGCCTCCTGCCCCCTCTTGGGCCGTCGTGGGGCTCTCTTGGCAGCTCTTGGGCTGTCTTGGGCCAGTCTGGGGGGCCTATTGGTAATGTGTCGAACTGAGGCGGGGGATGTATGGGGATGTGCTCACTGGGGGTCATAGCTGGAGCGTCCTATGGGACACGATCCGCATGAATGGTGTGACGACTTGAGGCGGAGGCAATGTAGAAAGGTGTCCATCAGGGACCTAGATGACGTCCGTATGTGGCACGCGCGGTGTGAGGTGTGTGTATGTGTGTGTGTGTGTGTGTGTGTGTGTGTGTGTGTGTGTGTGTGTGTGTGCGTGCGTGTGTGTGTGTGTGTGTGTGTGTGTGTGTGTGTGTGTGTGTGTGTGTGCGCCGAAATTGGCTGACAGCCTGCGTCAGGTTGCGCAAAAGCAGCGGCAGGAAGGGCATGAGGGGGTGAGAGGCTCGGTGGGAGGCTGGAGGAGAGGTTCAGTGAGATGCGGGAGGAGAGGAGACGCGCGGCGCAGCGAAGGCACAAACATTAGGAGGAATAAGGATTAGGAAACATGGCTTGCACGGGCCTTTCTTGATGGTACCGCGATTCGTTTCCAGTGAGTTCCGATCCGTCCGAGGAGACTCGCACGGCCCCCAAGGGACGCCCGACGTTCAGCTTGTCTGCATGACCCCACGCACATACTGCGCCACCTGCTTGTCCATAGTTGCCCTCCCGTGGACGGGAACGGGGCGCGCATCCATTACATATCATGCATGTGATGCTGCTTGTTCTTCCGCAGCGCTTCGATGTCACGCGCTTCCGTTCATGCCAAGGAAAGGTTCGACCGGGGGGAGAGGTCTTGGGCCCACCAGGGGGGACAGCAGACCCACCAGGTCGGCGACGGCCGCGTCTTCGAGCAGTCCAGGATCCTGTTCTCGATGCTGGTGGGCCACTCTGCGAGCGGGGACGGCGAGGGCGAGCTCTGGAGGTCCGTGCGCCTTCCCGCTGGGGGTGCGGAGGCCGAGGATGAGGAGGAGGAGGAGGAGAACGCGTGGCTGGACGCCGAGGAGCGAGGAGCTGCTGCGGAGTCTGGCGCTGGCTGCGAAGAGGTGGTCGGCTCCGCGTGGCTGGCCCGCCGGGCACCCTGGCTCCGGGCGGCGTGGCCCAACTGCGACGAGGTGTCCTTGTGGGTCGGCCCCGCGGGAGAGCCCGCCGCCGGGGCGCACGCGCGCTCGTGCCGGTACCCGTGGACCACGTTGCGCTCGGAGTGCGGCAAGGACGACGCCGTCCCGCTGAAGCTCGTTGCCACGCTCTCCCTGATGCACGCTGCCCCGCCTTGCCTCACCCGGGGCGCGGGCGGTCGCGTGGTCGTCTTCAGGGGCATGCCGCCCTGCTCGGTGGGGGAGGTCCTCCTCTTCGACCCCCTCACTGGTGAGGAGCGCGGGGTGGACCCGCATAAGCACGCGCAGGAGCTCGGCCGCCTCCCTGGCTGCGAGGACGAGGAGGACGTCGACGCGCGCGGCGGGCTTCCGGCCAAGGAGGCGGTGATCGTCTGCCTCGACACCTCCAAGTCCATGTGTCAGGACACCGGCTTCCCCGAAGAAGGAGATGAGGCAGCGCAGGAGGACCACCAGGGTCCCAGCGTGGAGGAAAACGGCTGGGACGAGACGCCTCCCGAGGACGACTCGCCGACGGCGCTTCTTGAGGCCCTCCGACGCTTGAGTGCCCACCCGAATCTGGAGGACTTCCGCTGTGCGCTGAAGGCGGAAACGACGGCGGGGGGCCAGGAGACGCTGGCGCTGGTCCTGTTGCAGGAGGTATCCAGCTGCCTGCGGCAACTCCCGCCACCGTGCCAGCCAGGCGCTCTGGGTGGCGACCGCTCAATGGTGGGGGAGCCGTGATGACGGTGATGAGATGGTGATGGTGCAAATGATGGTGTTGATGATGACGACGACGATGATGCTGATGATGCTGATGGTAGCGATGATGACGATGGCGTTTTTGATGGTGATGCTGATGGTGCTGATGATGATGGTGCTGATGCTGATGCTGATGCTGATGCTGATGCTGATGATGATGATGATGATGATGATGATGATGATGATGATTATGATTATGATGATGATGATGATGATGATGATGATGATGATGATGATGATGATGATGATGATGATGATGATGATGATGATGATGATGTCGATGACGATGGGATGGTGATGGAGATGATGCTGATGATGATGGCGATGGTTGTGTTGTTGATGATGTTGATGGGAATGGTGGTGAGATGGAAATGATAAGTGTGGGAAAGATGGTGATGCTAGTAATGTTGATGATGATGGTGGTGATGGTGATGATGGTGACGGTGATGATGATGGTGATAGTGATGCTGATGGTGGTGATGCTGATGATGATCACGGCGTTCATGATGATTGTGATGCTGTTGATAATGGTGGTGGTGCTGGTGGTAGTGCTGACCCCAGCCGCCGATGATGTGGATGATTATGGTGATAATGCTGATGATGCTGACGGTGATGATTCTGATGATTATGTTGGTGATTCTGATAATGCTGATAGTTGTGGTGGTGGTGACGGTGACTATGAGGAGGAAGGTGAGGAGGAAGAGGGGAGAAAAAGGAGGAGAAGGAGGAGGAGCAGGAGCAGGAATAGGAGCAGGAAGAGGAGGAGGAGGAGGAAGAGGAGGAGAAAGAGAACGAGAAGGAGGAGGAGGAGGAGGAGGAGGAGGAGGAGGACCAGTGTCAACCCAAGACTCATCAACGACGTTGGAAGATACCCTCCCTTCCGGCCACCTCTTCACAGGCCCCTACACTGATTTATTTCCATTGGGGGACGTGCCCCGTTAGGAATCAACCGTATGAAGATCCCGAAGCGCGCAAAAGCATAACTTCCCGGACTCTAACGCGACGAATCAAGCTGACTGTTACTTGTTGGCGATCCTGAATCGTGCGAGAACGCCGTTCCTGTGACTCCACCACAGCGAATCAACGTAACCGTTGCGCCCTGACAGTGCTGGATCCCTCCAAGTGCAATTTCGGGTACGTTAACCATGGGCATCCGTGAATCTTGTTACATTATTTCGACGAATGCTCGCGGCGCTAAGCCGGGGCTACATGTTGAACAACCCGTGAAGCTCTTGTGATTTTGTTGAACGAATGCCCGCCCTCAATCCGTGAAGATTTCGCAGATTTTTATACGAATGTGCGCGGTGCTAAGGCGCGAACCAAATTCTGAAAACCACCCGCCCTCAATTCGTGAATCTCTTGCGAAATTGTAGAATGAGTGTGCGCGGAGCTACGGGGGCGCCACATTTTGAATACGATCCGCCTTCAATCCGTGAAACTTTTGCAAACTTTCTTGCGAATTTGCGCGTCGCTAAGGCGAGAGCCACATATTGAAAACCACCCGCTTTCGATTTGTGGAAATGTGGCCAATTTGTAAGCTTCCAAATCATATGCGGTAAGGAAGTATCAGGCGAAACGCCTGACCCGCCCTTCCGAGTGGCCTCGTGGTGCGACAGAGGGGAGTTATTCGTAAGGAAAAGGAATGGATGAAGAGGACGGCCGTCACATGTGCCACTTTTCGTTTTACTATATGTTGAGCTACCATGGAACTCGTTTTGGCCGTCTTGGGGCTGTCTTGGCTTCCTGCGAAGCAGTTCTGGGGGTCATGGAGTAGTTTTGATCGGTTTCCCTGCCGCTATTACCTGGTGCCGCCGATTACAGTTGCAAGAGCGTTGCCCGCCGCAGCTTTTCAACCCAGATTGCGCTCGCCAGCGAGGGCAAAAAGGTGCCTCGCGCGTCCGCACGCGGTTTCCGTGGCTGGGTCTAGCCTCACAGATAGGTAGCCGTGGCCTACAAGGTCCTGCACCTCAACCTGTCGGGTATTCGCGGCGATCCCAGTGATAGAGATGACGAGTGTATTGCATTAGGATATCAGGGTCATTTGGTCGTCAACATTTCAGGGGAAGACCGATACCTGGCAAATCATTGGTTGCCATCATAATTTTGCCAGCGTAACGAACCACTTTGCAAACTTACTGGCCGACGCCATTCGCTACAGCGCGACAGTCAAAACGTACCAGCTCGACAAGGAAATCATGAACCCGTGAAAAAAGAAGAAATATGTTAGCCAGCGTGGTCCCCAAACAGTGTGTTTCTAGAAATCTATGCGGTGCAATCAATGGCGTGTAATTAACAAACGTTCGCTCGTGACTCATCAACGCCACCGCCCGCGCAATCATCCCACCCTCCCACCCTCAACTTGGTCTGCAAAGCCCTTGCGGCGGCGATTGTGATTACTGCTCGGGGCTGGCTAACGCATAGGTGCGGCCGCGCTAGCGCGCGCAGGCTCGCGCGCAGAGCGGCCAGCTAGTCTGGCGCGACCGACGCGGCTGCGGAGTCGCTGGCCGCTGGGGCCTCCCCAGTGCGCCTCGAAGCCCGCGCTGGGGCGCGGGCGCTCCAGCGTGATTCGGTGATTCGGGCGGGCGCGGCATCGATGCGACGTCGACGCAGGCAGGCGCGATGACGAAAGTGTCGGTGCTGGTGGCGGTGAGACGATGGCCACGGCAAGGCCAATGACAGCGCCGATGCTGATCACGCCGGTGGCGATGATGGCGTCAACGTGTCGGTGCGCGTGCGGCCGACGGGCGCGGGTGGCCCGCGCGGGTGCTCTCTGACAGGTGTCGTGCGCCCCCGGCAGGCGCGCCAAGGCGATGGAAGGATTTCGTCATGCTTGCACGAGGGGGCCGCTTGTCGGGCGAAGAGAACTATGCACATGCACCGATCCTGGCAAGGCCCACCCTTGACCCAGGATCGGTGCATATGCCTTCCTGGCCAAGGCAGGAGGGCGTGTGCACCGATCCTGGGCTCAGGATGGGCCTGGCCAGGATCGGTGCATGTGCATAGTTTTTTTTCCTCTAGCTTGGATGAATTTGCAGAGGATGTTGACGAAACGTATGGCCCCCGTAAGAAAGCGCAGAAGCGCGCAGATGTCTTGTGAACGCCAGGTTGCGACCCGTTCGTCCTGCGCATTTTTCATACGTGTCGATCTTGGCGTCCCTGCGACACTTGAGGTTTTGGAAGGAGTTCGGCATGCGCGCGCGGCGCCGCGCGCGTGTGGACGTGCCAGCAAAACGCGCAAGGGTTTTCGAATGATCCCAGCGCGCGCGGGAGGCCCACTCGGTCGCATTCGAAAAACGTGTTGCAACGCCAACGGTTCTCATGAGACTTCGCGGGGACGCGCATTTTTTTTTTTTTTTTTTTTTTTTTTTTTTTTTTTTTTTTTTTTTTTTTTTTGTTTTTTTAATGTTGTTGTTGTTGTTGCTGCTGCTGCTGCTGCTGTTGTTGTTGTTGTCGTTGTTGTCGTTTTGTTGTTGTTGTTGTTGTTGTTGTTGTTGTTGCTGTTGTTGTTGTTGTTGTTGTTGCTGTTGTTGTTGTTGTTGTGATTGTTGTTGTTGTTGCTGCTGCTGCTGTTGTTGTTGTTGCTGTTGTTGTTGTAGTTGTAGTTGTTGTTGTTATTGTTGTTGCTGTTGAGTGCTAATCGCTAAACAATTATTATTGTTGGTTCTGACACCCTCCTCCGTGTACCCATTTTGGCTCAAGATGGAAAAGAGATATCTTGTCCATCGGCATAATATATCATCATGGTAGCGTGAGCTGGCCACTCACTGTTGCCGACCCACCAGGGCCTTGGCGCGCCCGCGGGCGCCACGGCGAGCTGGCCAGAGGCTCGAGGTTGGAAAAGGGCGGCATCGGTCGCACCTGTCAACGCACCGAGCTCGGCAGTGTCCGAGCCACCGGCAGAGGCCGGGAGGAGTCAACCGGCAGAGGCCGGGAGGAGTCAACCGGCAAGGACCGGGAAGAGCGGCCGCAAGCGCGGCAAGAGGAGCGAGGCAGCGGTCGAGAATAGACGCAAGCAGCTCCAGTTCAAGCACGGCTTGAAGGATACAGGCAATAAGCTTCACGACCTCGCGTACATCGAGGACCACCCCTCGGAGAATTCGTCGGGAGCCATCGAGGAGGCGAAGAAGGAGGTCCTAGATCAGATCATAGACCTCGAGCGTACGAGGCAGGAGATAGCTGAGAGCAAGGAGGGGCTCGCCAGGAGACACGCAGTCAAACATGGACGAGCAAGTTCGGCAGCAGTTCGACTTACTGAGGCAGGAGTTCGCCGCTCGAATGAGTCAGACCGTCGACGAGATGAGGAGGCTGGAGAACGAGAATCAACGGCTTCAGCAGCAAGTAGCAGGAGGCCTCGCGGCAATCCCGCAGGCGATCGAGCGCATGGGCGAGCAGATCAGAGGCGCGTCGAGCGCAGGAGGAGCCGCTCAAGGTCTCGTCGACACCAAGGGGATAGGCAAGCCCACGACGATGGGCGACGATCAGGAGAAGTTCGGAGCTTGGAATCGCAAGATGGAGAACTACGTGATAGGCGTGTACGGAGAGAGCTTTCGTCCTGTTCTTCGGTGGGCTGCAGAAGCCGAACGCCCCGTGACGATCGAAGGGGCACAGGAGGCGCACGGAGGAGTACCAGAGCTGGAGACCAAGGTCCACCAGCTGTACGCGGCGCTGATCAGCACGACGGCAGACGGCAGCGAGAGCAACGACCTCGTGACGGGCGCCCCCGACGGGAACGGTCTAGAGGCCTGGCGGAAGCTTCACCGCAGGTGGGACCCGACGACAGGTCCGAGGAAGAGGCTGATCCTGAGGTCGATCATCTCGCCTCCGAAGTGCAACGCGGAAGAGCTGGGGTCCGCCTTAGAGAAGTGGATCCAGCAGATAGGCAAGTACGAACGCCG